TTTCTCCTTGAGTTGTAAGTCGGGTGCTTGTTAAAAAAAAGTTGAAAGACTTTTTGTAGTAGTACACCCTCTCATCAATATGAACTCTCTTGCTAGCCTCTAATACAACTTAATTAGGCTCCGCCTGCTAGTTATAATACGATATTATATGTATTTCTGTTTGTAAAGGAAAAAATACAAAAATATTAATGGCCATTTGATGAAGAAGAACGGTAGGAAGATAGCATGAGAGTTTTCTTTTGTTAGAAAAAAAGAAGAAAAAAAGAAATTCTTATTGTCCATTTGAGGTAGGGGTGGCAATCGGGTCAGAAACGGGTTGACAGGTCAGGTTGAGATCTGGATATAATAGATTATCTGCTGATCCGAACACGACCCGTCAATCCAAAACGGGTCAGGATACTTTATCCGAACATGAAAATTTTGAATTGATGGGTTGGCGGGTCAGCCCGAATGACTTGAAATATAATTTCAATTTAGTAATTTACCATTGTAGTTTCTAACAGAACCAATTTCGCACAGGCTAATTACATAATCACGTAATAAAAATCTTGATAAAACAATCCCAAACCAAATTTGAAATAAATTAAAACATTGTAAAAATATTTTAGCTCAAACCAGATCTAAAATAAATTAAGATATTATAAAAATAGAAAATAATGTAATATATCATTTGTCAAAATATAATAATTCCAATTTCACACAAGTTAAACAAATTCATTTAGGATTAAGTGGTTAATACCTTTGGGGAAAAAAAATAACTTAGTTTAGTTAGATAAAATATTTTTATATTTATTAATTTATTTTTAATTCATAAACAGATTATCGAGTCAACCCGTGAGTGACCTGAATTCGATCTTTTTTTTTCGAATTCATCGGGTTCGATTCGATTCTGATCCGAACCCGTGAAGTCTCAATTCAAATCCATTTATTTCGTATTAGATTTGTGTCGTATTTTCAGGTCACGTCGAAAATTGCCACCCTAATCTGAGGGATAACAGAAGAAGCTTCATGAACTTTAGATATTTTGTTGGCTAACCATATGATCTTGTGGTCACATAGAGTTGGAGATGAATTGGGAACTCCAGGCCCCCGCTCCCTACTGCCGTTTGGAATTAAATTTGTCTGGACTACGGTTCCAGACGTCTGTACACTCTTCTGCTCTTTCTTTATCAACATCAACGTGTAACTGTAGTAATTGAATTACTAGTCCATTGAATGGTTCTCGCATCAAACTTATATAACTGTAGTAATTGCTCGGAATAGAGTTGAAGAAGCATGGCTATCCATTTTATTGGTCCAGAGCATTCAGAAAGTGCCTGGACCCAGTGCATTGTTTGACTATTGGGATCAATTATTGCCCCCTTTCGATTTAGATTTCTTTCTTTCATCTTCTCCCTTTTATCTCCGTCAGTTTATCAGAATACTTCTTGCTGTAACAAAAATAAAACTAATTGCTTCACATGATATTTGAGCTGCTCTTTCTACAAAACACGAGTCTTGAGATTCAGTTTTCAGATACTCCAATAGTGAAACAACATTTTCTGTGGAGTGATAAAAAAAGAAGAAACAATTTTTACATTAGTCTAGCATGTTACATCATTAGTCTCTAAAACAGCTACTTATCCTATTTACCAAAATCCAAAGTTTATTTCCACTTTCTTTGTTCTGTCCCAATTCAGAATTATTTCATATGAATATTATCAAAAAGTACCTTGTGAGCTTATGAATGGAAGTGAAGTTCAAACGTTAACCTCAAAATTTCAGAACCCAGAAGCATCCACTTTGTTTGTATGCAGTCCAACCAATCATCAAACCACATATTCCCCCTGAGAAGGGCAGAAACCACACTCCACTCACCAGGTCCATATAATAATAATGCCAATCAAATTTTTGTGGCAGTTAGAAATTCCTCAGCCAGTGCAGAGATTTCCCATTTCTAGACATGCATCTGTCAGCCTCAACAACCACCGTATAAAAGCCTCCCATACCTCTCCCTCGGTCCCTCCTAACCAACTTTTGAACTCAAATCTTAAAGCTGGCTTCTTGAAGTTCGCAAGCATCAACAAGAAACTTACCAGCTATCCCATTTTTCCTGATAACACTAATGGCTTCCTCTGTCTCAACTTTTGGAGCAGTTAATAGAGCTCCGGTACTGTGTTTTCTAGCCATCTTATCTTTACTCTCTAGCCCAGAAAAACAAAAAGGGTCTTTGAGTTCATCGAACTTGTAATGACTTTACTGTTTGAAGATCATCTTATTGTGAAAATCGTATCTTTTGTCTCAACTGACTTGGACAGCAAAAACCATTAGAGTACTTCATTTTTTTGCTTGTTAAAGCATAAGTATTTAGTTTCTAAAGTATTTGTCCAGTGATGGAGGAAGTGTTTGTCAAATTTTGATCCGTTAGAGTACTTCATTTTTTCCCTCCGTATCTGGAGAAACAGATCCTTGAATTAGTTTTCCTTTTGGTTGAGGAAAGTGACTTTATGGTGATCAATCTGAGTGTAATAAGGAATTAATTAGCCAGTAATTTGATATAACTAGGATGGGATGTCCAGATAGTTTCAATTCTTGTACTGCATTATCTCTGAATCAATTGATACACTTGGTGCAGTTGAGCATGAATAGTTGCAGCGCGGGAACTTCAGTTCCAGGCACAGCTTTCTTTGGCAAAAGTCTAAAGAAAGTTGCATCCAAAGTAGTCAGCCCCAGTTATTCATCTGGAAATTTGAAGATTGTTGCGGAAGGGGACGAGCAGAAACAGACCAAAAAGGATAGGTGGCAAGGGCTTGTTTACGACGCCTCGGATGATCAACAGGATATTACCAGAGGAAAAGGAATGGTGGACACACTCTTTCAAGCTCCTATGGGTGCTGGCACTCATGATCCAGTCTTGAATTCTTATGAGTACATTAGCACCGGTCTTCGCCAGTAAGGAGTTCATCTATTGATCTTACAGAGGTTTCGAGCAATTTGTAATTTGGACTCAAGTGCCTAATGGAATTTGGTTTCAATGTGCAGATATCAATTGGACAACAATATGGATGGCCTATATATTGCTCCTGCTTTCATGGACAAGCTTGTTGTTCACATTAGCAAAAATTTCATGAATCTGCCAGGCATTAAGGTTTGCTATTCTTCAATTTGCTAAAGGTTTGAGTTGAATAGCTTTCCAGATGAAACGGAATTTTTATAGATTTCTCAAAATTTTACAGATTCCCCTGATTTTGGGCATATGGGGAGGCAAAGGACAGGGAAAGTCATTCCAATGTGAACTTGTATTCGCCAAAATGGGCATCAAGTGAGTTAACGTTTCCATCTTTTAGGCATTAGATTTAGTCAAAACATAAACCAGAACTGCATGAGTTTAATGGACAACTCAAAATTGAGAAGCAAAAGTTATGTGCTTCATTCTTCTTAAATAAATTTTCTGTTTCAAATTGTTAGCCCCATTATGATGAGTGCTGGAGAACTGGAAAGTGGAAATGCTGGCGAACCAGCAAAATTGATTAGGCAAAGGTACCGTGAGGCAGCAGACAGAATTTCTAAGGGGAAAATGTGTGTCCTCTTCATCAATGATCTTGATGCTGGAGCTGGAAGGCTTGGGGATACTACACAGTATACAGTTAACAACCAGATGGTGAATGCAACTCTGATGAACATTGCTGATAATCCCACCAACGTTCAGCTACCTGGTATGTACAACAAGCAGGAGAATCCTCGAGTTCCGATCATAGTCACAGGTAATGACTTCTCCACCTTGTACGCCCCTCTCATCCGTGATGGTCGCATGGAGAAATTCTACTGGTCTCCAACCAGAGAAGATAGGATCGGTGTCTGCACCGGTATCTTCCGAGCTGACAATGTACCGAGGGAGGACATCGTGAAACTTGTTGACACCTTCCCTGGACAATCAATTGGTATGTTCAGTCAGTGTGATTATTTATCGAGGGACCAAATTAAAATGCAAAGTTCTGCCTAATCATCACAAGTAGCTGTTTACCTTTGCAGATTTCTTCGGCGCCATCAGGTCAAGAGTGTATGATGATGAAGTCAGGAATTGGATTGGAAGTACTGGAGTGGAAAACATTGGAAAGAGGCTGGTGAACTCGAGGGAGGCACCCCCATCTTTTGACAAACCAAAAATGACACTTGACAAGCTCCTTGAGTATGGAAACATGCTAGTCCAAGAGCAGGAGAATGTGAAGAGAGTCCAATTATCCGACAGGTACTTGAAGGAAGCGGCACTTGGAGATGCAAATGAGGATGCTTTCAAAAATGGATCTATCTATGGTTAGCACTCAGCTCCCTTCATCCTGGGCCTTTTATGAGAGTTTGAAACTTGCTTTAACCGTGTAATGGAAATGAAGTTGGGAAAAGATTTTCAACAAACGTTCTTTTCATTGTCTGGATGCAGGAAAAGCAGCCCAACAAGTTCATGTTCCTGTCCCTGAAGGCTGCACTGACCCAAATGCAGCAAACTTTGATCCAACTGCTAGGAGCGACGACGGAAGCTGCATGTATCAGGATTAGAAACTTTCCGTTTAAGGCTATTCAATATACTAATTACTACCAGTATCTTTTCTGCAACTAGTGATGCGAATTCTGTTCCATATCATATTTTAGCATCACAAAATTCTCTCGATAATTACTGTATATCTGCCTACAATGGCTTTGCAAGATCAGATTTTTGCCTTCTATTTTACCCTTTTCTTTTTTGATATGTTTCTTGTACGAAGTTCCGTTAGCCAATTCGATTTCCTTGCAGCCCCTGCGTTGCTAATTATAGAACATGATATCCTTCTGCATCGACTTTGCTAAGCTGAATGATTAGTTTCTTGAAGTGGAATACTAAACTTTTTGCAGCCAAAAAGTCCACAGAATAAAAAGGAATGCATTTTGGGTACTACTATCAATTCCCATCTCAACCTTCTGAACTTTATTCAACGATTAAGCCACCCAATCTAATGCAACATGTGCTAGAGGTTACGGAGTACAGGTGGATGCAAGATTGGTCTTTCACAAAGGAAATACAAAAACACTTGCGTGTTTGTTTCTTTACATAAAATTCGATCCAGAACAAGAATTCAAGCCTGAACTGCCCAAGGATGTGGAGAACAACACAAGGGAATCAGGGATTCAATCCTGCCAGACACGAGTTCCTACTTCCTTCTAGTTTCTTGGATATAACGCTGACCAAGTTGTAGAAAAAGCAGAAACAGTAGTCGATACTAGTAAGATATGTATCATTCCTGGCAGAGACGAATCTTCCCCAAAATCAACCGATCATAGGTGCCCGTGAGACTTTTCCTGAGGAGTCAGTGAAGATTCGCACCCGGTCTGTTCTGAAATCCATTGTAACGAAATAATCAGGCGGAATCACATGAACGTTAACTCCAGGCATCTCTTCCTTGATCCTTCTTTCTGCTTCTTCACTTGTTAATCCCACCAACTCCGGCCATGTTTTTCTCTCACCTGATCCACCACCACCATACCGGTATCCTACCCATCAAAAAAAAAATTTGTATCAGCAGAGTTATCGAGAATTTCTTCTTGATAGAATGCTCCAACTTTTTCCTAACTCCACTATTGACATCTTATGACTCGTTACACTTAATTTTCAACATATGCTTCTAAATCTGTAAAATTAACCGATTAAGAATCTAACGATTCATTAATCTTCAAAGCATTAGAATCCTGATTCCAAGGAGTGATAGTACTATGATGCCAGTTTCATTTACTTGCCGAAAGAACATTCCATTTTTCCCTTGAACAAGGAGTTTTGGACCCGGTCAAAAGTTTAAATTTGATGATGTATAGACTGAGAGGCAAGGGAAGTGTTACCTGGTAAGGTTGGTAATGGCTGCTGAGGTTGGTCGTTGGAGATTGCATTTTGCTTGCTATCCTCTTCAGCCATGACTGATAAGCTTTAAAATTTAGATCAAACAATGGGGACGACAGGTGTTTGCTAGGTACTAACTCCAATGTCCAACGTAGTATTTAAAGATTTTTAAAGATTAGGAGCAACATTTCACCCCATCACCACCCATCCGAAACAAAAAAGGAACCTATAGAGATAAGTTAAAAGGAAATCATTGGGAATGGGGAAGGACTTTTAAAATCTTTTTTATTATCACGTTCAGAGTTCGAATCCTGACATTTGAAAAATTGGTTTAACTGGTAAGACTCGAAATCCCTTATTGATGGATTCGAGTAACATGCACTACCAACAGTCTCTTATTGATGGGCTATATGTAAGAATTAGAGTAAGCCACCAAAAAATTATCTCTTGCTTACTTTAATTTTGAAATCGCTAACCTCCCCTATTCCTAATTTATTATGAATTATTATTTTATGCATTGCTAGTATATATATTGTCAGGTTTAAAAGCATGTCAACTAATATTACTTTAAATTTTACATGTACCATGATTCTAAATCCCTTCACATATATATCGTTAATAGATAGAGGATTAATAATTTATTATTATCAAAAAAAGAAAATCTCTAGAGATTTTATTGGCTGGCTTTGTAGACTTACGTTTGCTTTGCATTCTCCGTCTCCCAAATGGAATATTGCCGGCCAGCAATTAGACCGCATCAAACATCCTCCAAGCTTGTCATTTCTTCTTTCTAGCCTGTGTTTCTAATGGACCACTATGGATCCTTTTTGGCCCAATTATAATATGTAGCCCTGGCCAACGAGCCAGAGACTCCTGTCCGAAAAGTACGCCCACATTTCCTGCACTGGACCAGAGGAGAGTCGTAGTTTGCCATTGAAAAACAACACCGAGGTGATAGCCCAGAACCATTTTGGGCTGGACCCACAATTCCTTTGGATTTTTCATCAATGATGGCTACTTGAAAGTGTTTGATTAAGCCTAAAACAGTCTAGTATTTAAATTTGTTTGTTTAATTTTAACAAATTTGAAATTATATACAGGTTTGGTTAGTCTATTTATCAAGCCAATGCAAATGACTTCTTATCGAGTCAAACGTAACTCTAGCTCAAATAGTTTGAATATCTTATATATTAAATCTCAATTTTTATACTAATCGATCGAGTTTGAAACCTTATTAAACACAAAATATTATTTATTTTGATTTAATTAGTTGACAGACCAAACTGAATGAGTTGTTATTGAGTTGAGTTATATTCGAATGTCAAATAGTTTGGTTCATCTTTTAATCCTAATAGAGTGCACAAATTGAATCACTTTTGGCAAAACTTGTTTAGAGGCAAGGCAAGCTTGAACTCCCACTATTTCACAGGGGATGATTATTTTATTTCCTGCCCCTTGTTCGTTGAGGGGAGATGGTAGTAATATGTGCAAGCCATTGTAACGTTTTAGGGTAGTTTGGTCCTCCCACACACTTTGAAAAAAAAAAAAAGAATAAAGAAATAAATACATGCGAGAAACAAAAAAGCCAGCAATTGAGTGATGAGAGTTTAAGTCCCTTTTCTCCCACATCGGTCCAGTGAGGGTTGAGTGACGAGAGTTTAAGTCCCTTGGTCTAACTTGAAAGTCAGCAATTGCCTTTTGAATTGGATTGAGAATTAGGTTTAAAATTTCTTCCTCTCTATTGTTGGAAAGAGAGACAAAAAAGCAATAAATTTTCTTTTGAATGATTGCGGCCAAACCAAATGAGCAAAACATTGGCGTGCAGGCTGCCGACCTTGTGAATAGGTGTTTACTACATTTCTAAACTATTGCTTTTGGAATAGGGCAGGTTCTTGTTTCGAATTCGACAAATTCTCTATTTCCAGCTTTCAATTTGTTGAACCTTTTCATGAAGCAAGACTTTAGCATAGTGGAATTTTATGAAATAGTCTACAGCAAATGAAGAAATGGGAAGAAGAAACACACATGGCACCTCAGAAAAGTTTCTATTTTTTGAACATAGGAGACAATAAAAAATTTAAATCAATCAAAGTCATTGAAGTATTGTAATAACACATCAGCCTTCGATGATGATTGTCTCTCATCAGCCCATTTCTATTAATATAAGAGCTCATCCCTTGTACAACTTGACTCTCAAACGTGTGGGGCATAAATATCATCTCACGTTGGTCCAACCAAAAAAAAGAAAAAAAAAAAGAGAGAAAAGAAAAAGCATTTATCCAGTTGCACCGACCAAGACAGCTTACCAAACTGCTGTCAAAAACTAGCTAACTTGGTGAAGCATTATCAAAGTAGATTCATCCACTTTTCTATTTTGTGATTTGTATGTTTACCTTACTTCCGTGATCATTCGAATTCTTGAACAGACATTTTTCTTTAACAAAAAATTTGGACAGACATTAAGTAGGCGGTGTTTGTTATCATTCTTGATATAGAAGTACAGATTGAAAAAAATGAACTTACTCATCTTTTGAATCTTTTTACTCTACACAAAAATATATGACGTTGGTGTTGAACAAATGTAGACTAATTATACACACACTATCTAGTAGAAGCGGCTGCGGTTCTAGAATCACTAGTTCCGATTTAAAAACCACCTATTTCAAAAACATTTTTAAAGGTGAAATTGGAAATGGCTCTTATAAAGTTGGTCATGGTTACGATTCCAATTTTGGTTTCAGTTATTTCCAGGTATAGTTTTAGTTCATTCTAATTATACGTAAACTATGTATGATAATCTAATTCAGTATTTTAATTTAATGGGTTAATATCTTATCATATTCAGACACATTTGATGAAAAAAAATAGAACATCCTAATTAATTAAGTAACAATGAATTTTCTAAATAAAACTTATTTCAAAAAATAAGCGAAAAACTATTTAATTATCACTTAATACAAAATATTCTCAAATGTTAAGATTTAATACTTAACAATGTTGTAATTTAATAGATTCCAGATTTTAGATTTCAAATTTCAGATTTTAAGTTTTTAGACTTTAGTTTTATCAAACGCCCCCTTAATCATTTACGAGTACAGTATTTAAGGGGATCGAACCAACTGACATCTAATCCCTGTTCTTTGGTTGGCTTGTTAAAATAAATGATTTAGTTGCAATATATGGTGTCTACCCCAAATTGCTAGGTTGGTACATGACAGGAGATAACCAGAGCAATTATTTTCCTGTTAGAGTGCATTTTACTCAAATGCTAATATTACCCTCAATCAATCAATTTTATTTGTGTTCATTTATTTTTCTAGGATCCATTATGCATTAATTACACCTCTCTTTTTTTTTTCTCTAAATAAGTATTTTTCTGTTAGGGTATCTCACTCTTCCTATTATTCTCATTTCTCTTTTTCTCACTCACACACTAATATATCTATTATTTTACAATTAATTGAAGAGTAAATCTTACATACACTGACAGTGTATACACTATCACCGTTGAATTCATGACATGTGTGCAAAAATTGAATTTCAAATTCAAATTTTATATAGTTGTCATTCATCCAACACTGACAGTGTATAAAAGATTAATCCTTAATTGAATAGCATTGTTTTTGCATTAATCTTTTCTTGTATCTTTTTGGTTCTATGCATTCTTCTTTTTTTCATTCAATTCTAAAACTTTTATTTACTCATTTATTCATTTTTTGCAAATAAAACTTCATTTAACTCCAACAAATTTCAGGTTAAAACAATTATTATTACGGTGCAATTGTAGCTCGAAATTTTAGCATAATTTTTTTGGACATTTAACATGCATTTTTTTAATTCTGCTTGTTTATCATGCCTCTAAGCAACTAATACTGCTAAAACTTTACCATCTTTTTCTCTTTTGTACTTGTCACATAAATCTTGACTTTTATCTTTTATCAAGTATTCATATTTATCATGCAAGACTTGAATTTTATCAAATATTTATAGTCTCTAATAATTAGATGAAAATACGTTTAAATTACTTTATGTTATATATCCCATGAATATTGAAAGGAAAGTAAGGCTGTTTTTTGGGATTATTTTCATTTTATACTATTATTTATTTTGATTTAAATTACATTGTGTTTGAAAAAGGAAGCTTTTTAGTAAAATTTTAAAAATAAAAAAATTTAAGAGCATGTAAAATTAATATACAAGAAATTATAAAAACCAAAACCAATTTAGTAAATCATGAAAATAATTGATGAATTGATGTGAGGGAGAGAGATAGAGAAGAATATGAATGACTGAGTAGTGTAAAACTTTAATTAGAGAGAAAGAAGAAAAGGAGTAATTAGTGCTTAATGGATTTTAAAAAAATCAAAAAGAATATATGGACTTGACTAATTGAGGGTAATCTTGGTATTTGAGAAAATTTGGCTCTGGCAGGAACACTATTGCTTCGGAAATATTGCCAGCCGTTAGTACATTACATGAGATCAACCTACATATATTTTCTATGGATGCAATACGATAATTTGTGCTGAGTTTAATTGTATAATTACAACAATGTCACTACTTTATTAGTATCACAAGTTTGTCGGTTGTCCCAGAAGAACAAAAAAGCAGAATTTTTTTTTTTTTGATAATAAAGATCAGAAGTTTTTTTGATTGCGATGCAAATGATTTGTTAGCATAATTATAGGAATTTTTTAGCATAATTATAATTATACTAGAAATAATTATGCTATGATTACACTAGCAAATCATGCTTAGACAGATTCTATGCTAAACAAATCTTCTATAACTATGCTAACATTGCATGATTATATTTGACTTTGCTGTGGTGGAATATTTACTGGTTAACTTTATTGAATTCAAAGTGGCCTTGGCTCATTGATTTGTATTTTGTCAATTGGCCATCCGGCAATCACCACGCATGGTAGAAAATGTGAGGCCAAGACCCTTAAGCCCCATTTGGATCGTTATATTTAAAAGTTTTTGTAAAAAAATATACTGTACCGATTTGATAAATATGAGTTAAAAAATGATTGAAAAATATGTTCATGAAAAATGTAAAAATCTTTTTTCAAAAAATCACTAAAGAAGGGATGCGGAGGGTATTTGGATTTAAGGAAAAAAGGAATCAGTTTAACTAACAGCTTGAGTGAGAAAATGAAAGAAGAATGATTGGCTATCCTTGACTGGAAAGTAACAAAGACCTCAAATTCTTCATATATCTT